TTTTTGTTTGGCTCCTCATCCTTTTGGGGGGGGGGGGGGGGGGGCCCGACGGCGGACAAAGAGCTCGCAAGACCTCACGCCACGAGAGCGGGGAGTAGGTGGGGGATGCACGAGGTCGATGGATCCCACCAGCTCGCCGCGGTCATCGCCGAGGCGGTGCGGCTGCTGCGCAAGCTCCGCCATCTCTCCGCCATCTCTCCTCCATCTCTCCGCCATATCTCCGCCATATCTCCGCCATATCCCCCCACACCACAGGTGCGGCTGCTGCGCGAGCTCCTGCCGTCCGGCGGGCAGTCTCGCTACCTCCGCCTCTCCTCCAGCGTGCTGCAGCGTCTCCTCCTGCGGATGGCGTGCCTCGACTCTCACTTGGGCGATAGCCTCTGGCTGCCATAGCAGCGGCCAAGCGTTTTTGAGCTCGCGTGAGACAGCTTAGTCAGTAAGTAGAGAAGAGAACTCTCAGTGCACATGCTTGTACTCTCTAGCCGTACAAGTGAGAGACTCCCTTTTCTCCTAGTAAGCTAAAAGTACGTACAAGTGAGAGAGAGTACGTACAAGTGAGAGTACGGTTTCCGTAGTACGGACTACGGTACACCAAATTAAAGAGGTGCAAAGCGCTGTAAGTGTAACGCTCTCTGAGCGTTACAGCTTACACGCGTTACACGGCCGTTAGCACAGACACGTGTGCGCACAGCGACCGAGCGTCGGCCCTCCGCTCTCCGGGGCTCCGCCCTCAATCGGGGAACGGTCCGCGCCGCCCGTCCCCGGGAAGCGGCCCCGCCCCGGGTCCCACAGCGCGCGAGCCGGGAGCGGGTCCGGCGTTCGAGACCGATACCTCAGGCCGGGTGCGCTCTGATCGTGTCGAGCATATCCCCGATCGCCGCCTCGCCCTCCGCCTCCCACCGCGCGAGGTTCGCCTGTTCAGAGATTCGGTGGAGGCTTGTCCACTGTGGCCGCCCCCTACCGCGCAAGCAAGATATAGCTTCAGGCTCGCCGCCACGTGCCCCATCACCTCGCGTTGCACCCGCTCGCCCAGCCACTCAGTCCACTCCTGCAGGGCAGTACATACAGCGGCAGGGAAGGGACCGGTGAGGAGGCCCTCGCCAGGGTGGGCCGCTCGAATTTGGTGTGGTTTGCACCTCGAAAAACGGCTGGATGAGGACAGAGATGAAGCCCGCCTGCGCTTGCGCGATGTCGGTCCTCTCGCGGTCCATGAAGGGCGAGACAGGGATGCCCATCTCAGCTTCACGGTCGCCCTGCAAGAAGAACTCGGTCATCACTCTCGCTGCCCAGCGCGAGGACAGCCGCCACGGCTTGCAAGGATTGCTGATGTCGGCTGCGTGCAGGCACATCGTCAACAGCTTGCGAACCCCGCCCCGGTCAGGTTGATCAAAGGCGCCCGACGAGGAGAGCGCCTTGAACTTGGCGAGGTGGTCGAAGTGGAGCTTCATGTCCGTGCCCAGGACTGCCTCCACCATAGTCTGCCGCAGGTCGCCGCACTGCTCCGACGACAGGCCCATCAGCGCGTCGCAGCCGTCTAGCGCGAGAAGACGCCACGCCGAGGAGATGTGATGCATCTCCAGTACCGACGCGTCGTTGTAGCGAAGGGCGAGTTCGTGGCCGCTGTTGCAGTAGAACGCATTACTGAGCCCCTCGTGCCCATGGTCGTGCGCCGCCGCGGCGAGGATGAGCGCGTACATGTCCAGCGGGCTGAGGTGCCTCCGCACCTGCTGCTGGGTGAGGAAGAAGACGGCGCCGTGCACCACGTCGCACGCATGCACATAGTTGTGGAAGGGAACGTCGTGGTAGCCCTGCTGTAGCTTGGAGACGAAACGGACGAGGGAGGGCATGTCGATCCCCAGCCGCGTGTCCAGCTCGTATGCCTGCACAAAGTGCACCACCAGCAGAGCGAGAATGCACCGCGCGTATTGAGGTGGCAAACGATGGAACTTGCATTGTTGACGCAGACGCGATCGCCCATCCGGATGAGATCGGGCTCGACAAGCAGCAAGTCCGAGCCCTGTGGGAACAGGCAGCACCCCTTGCCGATGAGGCCACCCAGCGCGCGGTACCACAAGACCAACCACGCCTATTTTTCGGCCATAGCCGACCGTTTGTACGAGGGCGGGGGTGTGGCGGCGGCGGATTTGCTCCTCTGACCGAGCCGCAGAGCTTGCTGAGGTCGACAAGGAGGCTCTCGAGGACGTGATACGCCTTCCAGCGAATGCAATACGAGCTGCGGTCCCAGGCGTGGTTGCCTTGCACCCGCCGCCCAATCAGCAGCCGCTTGGCTCCTGCCGACGCGAGCGCGCCAAGGGGGACCGTCACCGTGCGGATGACCACCATGCAGCAGCAGACAAGCACGAGAAAAGAAGCGGCGGCTCTCGCCGCCTCCCACGGGGACGCCTCGGCGCCGCGCCCGAGGGTTGGCACAATGGCAAAGCGGGTGGTAATCACCAGGGCCAGCACGAAACGGCCGTGATCGGCGGCGGCTCCGAAACCGTACGCGGCCATGGCGGCCGCTGTGATTGACCACGTAGGAGGCACCGGCCATGACACCGCACTGCGTTGCCTTTGCGAGCCGTAGAAGGTGCGCCCGAAGGCATGCTCGGTGTCCGCTCCACCCTTGTCTGGCGTCGACGGCAGCGGAGCCACAGGTACGCCCGCGTTATACGCCATCACCGCCCCGGTGAGGCCCGAGCCCGCGTCGAGAACGACGCAGTCCCCACCCTGCGACCCCAGCATGGTCGCTCCAGAGGCGTAGGTGCGGCCGGGCCGAGTGACAGAGCCAGAGCCGAGCACGCACCTTCGACCGACCGTGACGCCCGGTAGCAGCACGCAGCGGTCAGCAACCATGGCGCCCGCGGCCAGTGTGACGGCCGCAGCCGCACTTGCGTCCGAGCACATGATCGTGGTCCGGCTCCCAAAGACCACGTCGTCGCCCACCTGCAGGGCCAAGGAGAGAGTTGGCCAACAGGCCTAGCACACATGGTTGGACGGAGGCTGCAGAGTGCCGTGAGCAGGTCGAATTCGACGACGTTCAGCATGACGCCCGGCCAAAAGATGCGCTCGCCACAGCGAGCGCCGAGGAGCCGCATCACGACCGACACGCCGCCCCAGTGTCGACCGAGAAGCGCGTGAGTGCCGCAGAGGTCGCTGCCAACCAGCCGGGACGTTAGCCAGTACTGGAAGCGCGCCCAGTCCCCTGCGAAGACGATGGAAGCGGCGTGTGTGCGCGCGGTGTGTGTGAGGGGCACGGAGCGCCGTGTACTCGTCGACACCTTTGGGACCCGGTCGAAAGCGTCCAATGACGAGGCGCTTGACAAGGATGGTGGCGGCAAGGCGCACAAAAGGCGTGATGGTGGCGCGGGTAAACAAGATGAGAATGAGGACCGTCACACGCCAATAGTCGCTTAGCCACATGGCAAAGTCGTCCCACTTCGTAAGCCACGGCGATGCGGCAGAGACGGCGTGGCGGTAGTCGCTCGGCCCAATGCTGTAGAGCAAGAGGCAGAGGAGGTACGGAAGCATCGCTGCCGCCGTGACGAAGAGCTGACAAGGCAGGCCTAGGGCGCACTGGAGCCACAGTGGCGGGGAGCAAAAGTCAGGCCGGCACAGCTTACGATTCGCGGCCGACTGCTCCAACGTCAGCGGCGGCGTGTACGACGAGGTCAGAGGGCCCAGGCACACGCCAGCTGAGACCTTTGCGCCAGGCCCGAGCGTGCAGCTCCTGCAGACGCCAGAACGGTGGCCGAGCACGACAGGCCGCAACAGCATAGCACCGGCATCAGCGGCGAATGGGGAAATGATCGCCGTGTCAATAGCGGCGTCGTCACCAATGGAGACCAGGTCTGCCTCGGTGATGTGAGCCGTCGCAGCGATCCTGACGCCAGTTCCCACCGTGGCTCCGAGCAGCCGCAAGTATCGACAGCGCCAGACATCGCTGGAGTTGAAGAGCGCACCCCGGCCGCAATGACGCAACGTCTTGTCCACCAGCCACCAGCGAAGGTAGTAGCTTCCCCACAGAGGGTAGCAGCCGGCGCGATATCGCCCAATGATAAGCCACTTGAAGGCATGTGTGGCGCCCGTCGCCCCCGGCCATGCTGCAGTCGCACGCAGCAAGGGCGCTGGCGGACAGCGTGCACAAAGTAGGCGCAATCGCCGCAATCGCATCCGTAACGGTAGCCGCCGCAAAGGCTTACGCGCCATCTTGGCAGGCTCACGTGCCGGCGTGGGTCAGCGTATCATTGCGCAGGTCCAGCCCATCGTGGTGTCGAGTCTTTGGATCTCGTTGCAGAAGCCGACGAATTCACAAAGGCACACCGGAGCCGATTTCGTGAAGGCCCCACGCTTTAATTCTTTTTTGTGGTGCGAATTTTTTTTCTCGCGATGTCCACCCCACCGCGGCGCCGCTCGCGCCGCCTCGCCACCGCCGCCGCCGCCGCGCCCTCGGGAGAGACGCCGCCGCCCGCCCGCCTCCTCGACCTCCCCACCGACCTCCTCGTGCGCGTCGTCTCTCGCTGCGACCCCGTCGACATCGCTCGCGCTGCGGCCGTGTCGCTCCTCTTCCACACGTCACTCGCGGTGGAGGGCATCCGCTTGCGGGCGCAAGAGCGCGGCTTCGAGCTGCCGGCGCAGCCAGAGGGCGAGGTCTGCGCCGTGCGGTGGCTGTGCTACTCGGCGCTGCTGTGCGAGTCCAACCCGCCGGCGAGGATGGCGGCAGGCGATCGGCACAGCGTCTTCATGGTCGGCGAGGGGCGGCTCTCGTCGTGCGGCTCCCCGCTGTCCTACTATCCAGCCCTGCTCGGCCACGGCGAGGGCGTGACGCGGCTCAACACGCCGACGCGCCTTCCGGCGACGCTGGGCGACGAGCGCGCCGTGAGCGTGTCGGCGGGAGAGCACCACAGCCTCGCCCTAACCACCAACGGCGCTGTCTGGAGCTGGGGCGCTGGACGCTGGGGACGGTTGGGCCACGGCGACGAGCAGCACCAGTGGCAGCCGACGAAGGTCGAGGCCTTTGCTGGTCAGCGCGTCGTCGCTGTGTCGGCTGCACAGAGCCACAACCTCGCCCTCACCGCCAACGGCAGCGTCTGGAGCTGGGGCTTGGGATCCTTTGGCCAGCTGGGCCACGTTGACGAGCAGAGGCAGCTGCAGCCCAACAAGGTCGAGTCCTTGGCTGCCCAGCGCGTCGTCGCTGTCTCGGCGGGAGGCTTCCACAGCCTCGCCCTCACCGCCGACGGAGAGGTCTGGAGCTGGGGCGATGGAGACCTTGGCCAGTTGGGCCACGGCAACCAGCAGCACCAGCTGCTGCCCAAGAAGGTCGAGGCGTTGGTTGGGCGGCGCGTCCTCGCTGTGTCGGCTGGAGGGGCGTGCAGCCTCGCCCTCACCGCTGACGGCGCCGTCTGGAGCTGGGGCTCTGGAGGGAGCGGCCAGTTGGGCCACGGCGACCAGCGGAGCCTGCCGCTGCCCAAGAAGGTCGAGGCGCTGGCTGGCCAGCGCGTCGTCGCCGTGTCGACTGGAGGCAGCCACAGCCTCGCCCTCACCGCTGACGGCGCCGTCTGGAGCTGGGGCTTTGGAGGAAGAGGCGAGTTGGGCCACGGCGATCAGCAGAGCTAGCTGCTGCCCAAGAAGATCGAGGCGCTGGCTGAGCAGCGCGTCATCGCTACGTCGGCGGGAGGCGAACACAGCCTCGCCCTCACCGCCGACGGCGCCGTCTTCACCTGGGGCAAGGGCGAAAGCGGCCGCCTAGGCCACGGAGACGAGCAGTGGCAGCTGCTGCCCAAGAAGATCGAGGTGTGGGCGCAAGGGCTGTAGTGTTTGAGTCGAGTTGACACGCCCTTACCCCTTCACCCTCGCCTCGCTTCTTGGTGTTTCTGAACACGTAGTCGTCCACGCTGTGGGGTTTGTGCGGGTCCTGTGTCTGGGAGGGAGGGAGTGGGGTGCAGGTTGCTCACCCACGGCACCGGGCCGGTGCTTGCACTTTGAATGCCGTGGGGCTCCTGCCCGTGTCTCGGGCGTGGAGATGTTCCCAACCAGTCGCGGCAACCCCGGGAAATGCGATCGAACGAGAGCGAAGCGCCTATAACTCGATCCGGTAAAGTGTCATGCTGTCACGCTGTCCTGTCAAAACAGTGCCTGGCCTGGGTTTGGTTCGGCGGCTCGCTCCTACGTCCTTCCATGTCCTCTCTGGTACGATCCACCCGCGACCCCGTTGCCACACACTGCTCTCTCTGCCACACGATAGTCACGGCTCACACACTTGCGCTCAACTCTCGCTCACCGTCGCACTCACCACTCGCAGGCGATCGCTTCGTCATGGGCGCCTTCTTGGTTATGGCGTGTGGCTACGTGGCGGCTTCGCCCGGGATCATCTTGGCCGATGCCACCTCTCCCGGACCGGGCAACCTCTCCGTTCATGTTGACGCCAGGGGCAACAGTGCGCTGATGTACGCCTCCAGCGTAGGAAGGCCGGTGATCCACGCACTGCGGGCGGGGGCACAGGCAGAGCTGCAGAACGGGAAAGGGCTCACCGCGCTGCGCTTTGCCGAGGATCGGGGTTGCGCGACTTGCGCTCAGGCGCTCAAAGATGCCAGCGGCTCGGAGGCCACCAAGGACGAGCTGGTCCCGGACGCGATCCGGGATGCAGCGAGTGTCGGCGATGAGATTGCGGTGCACTCCTGGCTCGACGGTGGCGGCGATGCCAATTCGACGTTCAACGCTGAGGATGCGAGTGTGTGGGGCATCACGCTGCTCATGGCAGCCGCTGAGAAGGGGCACAGTGGGGTGGTCGATTTGCTGCTGCAGCGGGGCGCGAATGTGAACCAGCAGAACAGCAAAGGCCAGGCCGCACTACGACAAGCCGCGCTGGGGGGGCACCAGCCGGTGGTCGAAGCACTACTGCAGCGCGGCGCCAAGGTCAACCAGCAAAACAACCAAGGCAGCAATGCGCTGACGGAGGCCGCATACGGCGGCCACGAACGGGTCGTCGACTTGCTGCTCAACCGCGGCGCAGTGATCAACCACCAGAAGCTGAATGGCTTCACGGCGCTGATGCTCGCCGCCCACAGCGGGCAAACGCAGGTGGTCGAGCTGCTGCTTCAGCGTGGCGCGAATGTTCACCAGCAGAACACTCGCGGCGGCACGGCACTCATGTACGCCGCCATGTCCACGAGCCGCCTCCAGCTCATCGAGACGTTGCTGCAGCACGGCGCGGACGTCAACCAGCAGGACAATAACGGCGAGACCTCATTGATGGTCGCCGCTCACTACAACCACCCCGCCACTGTGCGTCTCTTGCTGCGCGCGGGGGCGCGGGTGGAGGTGCGGGACAGGCATGGGCGCACGGCGCTGCATTTTGCTGAAGCGCAGGGCCACACCGCCTGCGCCGGGGCACTCAAAGGTGCCAAAACCGTTGACGCAGTGTACACACCCCTCGACTGTTGGTGGGGCTATGGCATCGGTCTGGGAATCCTCTGTATCGGCCTCGGGATTAAAGGTCATGCCAACTTGAGGGCGCAGGCGCGAGTGGCAAAGCAAGCGGAGCCAAAGCATTCGGGGAGATCAGCGGAGGCGAGGAGAGCAGCAAAGGTGGAGGCGAGGAGGGCCGCAAAGGCGGCAGCCAGGGAAGCAGCGGAGGCGGCTAAGAGGCAGGCGGCCGATACGGCTAAAAGGGAAGCGGCTGCGATAGAGGCGGCAGAGGCTGCAGCGGAGTCGGAGCGCGTGGCGGTAGCAGCGAGGGAGGCGGCGGCGGAAGAGGCGGCGGCGGCGAGAGAGGCGGCCGCGTCGGAGGCGGCGAGGGAGGAGGCGGAGGCCGCGAGGGAAGCGGAGGCGGCGGAGGCGGCGAGGGTTGCAGCTGCCGCTGCGGCGGCGGCACCCGTTCTCCTTAAGTACGAGGAGCTCGATACCGCCACGGCCTCCTTCAGCGCTGCTCGCGTCATCGGCGTCGGCGGCAACGCGACAGTGTACAAGGCTGACCCATTGTCTGCGCTGCAGCGCCGGTTGCCGGGTTCATCCCGCGCGGTGGCGGTCAAGCGGCTGACGGTGAGCGGAGGCGTGGCGGCGGCGGAGGCCGCCGAGGAGCTGCGCCACGAAGTGGACATCCTGTGTCGGCTCTCGCACCCGAACGTGCTTTCGCTGCTTGGCTACTGCCTCGACCGCCGCGGCCCGTCGCTCGTCTACCCCATAGCGGCAGGCGGCAACCTAGAGGACCGGCTGCTGCTGACTGCGCAGGGGCGCCAGCGGCTCGGCAAGCTAGGCTGTGCTAGCCCGCCGCCGATGCCGTGGGCTGCGCGCTGCCGCATCCTCTGCGTGGTGTGATGCAGAGTTTGCTCCACTCCCACGCGTTATGATGAGTCTCTTGACGCATCGACACGTGAACAGGTTATGGAAGGTCTGCTTTACCTGCACGAGCTGCGGCCGCCGGTGCTACACCGTGACGTGAAGCCGAGCAACATCCTGATCGACGCCGACGGCATAGCGCGGCTGGCGGACACGGGTCTCGCCAAGGTGCCCCCCCTCCCACCGCCAGCGCTCTGTGCCTCTCTCTTCCTCCGCCCCTCTCTGTGCCGTTGCCTCCGTCCGCTTCACTTGCCCTCGATTGCCGCTCTCACCGCCATTGCCTCTCTGCGCCAAGGCGGCGACGGAGGCGCAGGCCGCGCAGACGCACCTGTCGACAGCGCGAGTATGCGGTACCCGCGCTCTGGCTCTGCCCCACCGAGCAGCCTCCCGCCGCTCCTCGACGGCTCCTTTCCTGCCCTCCCTAGGCACGCCGGGCTTTGTCGACCCCCTCATCGTCAATGGTGGGCAGCATTCGACGTACACCGACGGGTACGCGGTCGGCGTCACTGCTCTGATGGCGTCCGCCGGGGCTGGTATTGCTGCATATCGGCCGCATTCCGCTGAACTGTGGCCGCATCTCCGGCTGTAGGCGCTCGTCGGCTTGCCCGCTATCGGCCTGAAGGGCAAGTGCCGCCGCTTGCTCAAGTTTCCGGAGGAGCCTGCGCGGTGGCAGCCGCCGGGCGTGCCCGACTGCAGTGCTGGCGGCCGCGATGGTGCACCGGGCGGCTGGGCCGACAGTTGGCCGCCGTCGGTCGTGAGCGCCTTGTCGGAGCTGGTCCTCGGGCTCACAGAGGAGTACGTGGAGGACCGCATGCCCCTCTCAGAGGCGCTGCTGCGGCTGAGGGCAGTTGGGATGGGCGATTCTCGTTTCGATGATCACGAGGACACGGACGGCAGCGCCGAGGGCGACACGGCCCCTGGCGTTGGGAGTGGCGGCATTGCGGCGCAGCCCTCCGACGCTGCAGGGTCGGTTATGGCGCAAGCGGACGACGAGGAGCGCGGCCGCGTGACAGCGCTGTGAGAAGGGCGTCTCCTCACGCCCCCACGTGTCAACAGGAGGAGCGCTGTTGCGTGGTGTGCTGGCTCAACCCTCGCGAGGTTTGCACAGCGCGTCTGCCCTTGGCTCGTCTCGGCCCATCTCCTCACCTCGGCCCTCCCTCGCGCGAGGTTCGCTTCGGCTGCGGCCACGCCTCGCTGTGCCGCGGCTGCTACGAGGCGCTCCTCGCGCGGCCGCCCGAGGCGCAGCTCTGCCCCAACTGCCGCGCGCCAATCGGAGAGACGGCAGCCGCGCTACAAGCTAGGCGGATGCGGCCTTCTGGGAGACGCGTCCCTCACACGTCCACCGACATGTCGCCGTAGGTGGCTGAGCTCGGCGCCTCCTCGCCGCGGCGCCCCCCTCTCCGTCGGTGAGCGACGTCTCTTCACCAGTCCACACGCGTGAACAGGCGAGCATGTCAACGCGGCGCCCACCTTTGTCATGGGATCGCGGCGCTCGGCGAAGCAGCGAATGTGTGACGCGGACGTTGATCTCAACAAAAACGGCGATGCCCTCGCACGATTCCATATACGCTCCGGCTCGAGCTTTGTAGACCACTCATGCCGCTCGCTAGCAGATGCTCTAATTCACCCACCCACCTCTCCTGGGGGCAAGGCCCCACCCTAACGTTGTTGTTATGTTGAGTAACGGCGGTCAGGGGTGCGCCCCCCTTTTTCATGCGTGTTGCCTGTTCTAGCTTTTTCATTACATCATACATGCGCGTGCACTGACAGTCAAACGTGCGTCGTGAAGACTGACTGACTGAACTGAATTCTGAAGACTACAGAGCCATCCCGGGCAAGGACAGCGAGATCGGCGGGGCCGGGTTCACGCCATGCGGCACCGCCGCCGGCCCCTCCCGCCACTGCTAGAGGGCGAGGCAGCGGCGCAGCTCCGCGGCGCCCTCCGCCTCGTGCTGCGGCAGCGCGACGCACACCCCCTATCAAAAGCGACCCCCGCAACACTCATAGGAGCCCAAACCCAACCACCCCTTTTGCGGGGGAATAAAGAATTTTACAACAAAACTCCCTCGCACAACACTGGGCACGGGACTGGCGCGCACTGGCACTAACACAGGTACACGAATAAAGAAAGCACAAGCGCTGTGGCCCGTCCGGCCGTCGAGCCCAAGGCAACAAGGACATCAACAAGGCAACGAAACGGACCTTGCTCAACACGTGCCGCATTTCGTGCTCGAGCAATGCGAGCCCACCCTGACGACGAGGGGATCCGGCGGCCGTGCACCTTCTTTATGCTGAGCGCTGACTTCGTGCGCAAGTTCCAGGGCAAGAGCCTGCCATTCTTCCAGGACCTCCGTGACAAGTTCACCGCGGACGAGCCGCTCGTCAAAGTGTCGCCGACGTGGTAAAAGGCACCCACATTGAGACGACGCTGGCGGTCTCGCACCGATGGATGCAGCCAGATCACCCAGACCCCGATGGCGAGCAGCTCAAGGCGCTCAAGGGCTTCCTCAACTCGCCCGACGGCCAGAAGATTGAGCGCGCCTGGATCGACTCGGCCTGCATGCCGCAGGATCTCCCCAAGGGCTCGCGCAGCGCGGAGGACACGGCTTCCTTCAAGGGAATGCTGAAGGAGGTGAACCGGCTTTACCTCGGCACCACAGTCCTGATTCTCCTCGACATGTCGTACGTGTCGCGCTTCTGGACTCAGTTTGAGTCGTGGCTCGCGATGCAGTTCGCGATGCCTGACGGCCTCAAGCCGGCGGTGGGCACCAAGAACGAGCGGCACCACGTTGTTGCATCCAGAATGCTGCTGCGCAGGCTGAGTCGTTCACGAAGCTGCTCGTCGACCAGTGGGCGAAAAAGACGCCTGACAAGGCGCACGCCTTCCTCTCGAAGCCCGACGTCACCGTGACCAACCAGAGCGACAAGGAGGGGCAGCTGCCGAAGATCAAGGCGCTCGACGCGACGGTGCAAGTCGCATTTGGCGGCATCGCGCGACGACTGGAGGACGAGCTGACGGCGAGCGAGGCGGTGGCTGCGCGCGCGGAGGCCGAGCTGACCGCGTGGGAGACGGAGAATGACGCCAAGGCGGGCGCGGGCCACCGCTTGAAGGTGGCGGCGCTGCAGACCGCGAGCGTTGCGGCGGCGGCGCGCAAGGCGAAGAAGGAGCACGCGCGGGCGATTACAATCGGCGTCATTCCGGCTGTCATGAAGCAGAAGGGTGCGTCAGCAGAGGTGGACGAGGCGGTGCGCCTCCGGTGCTCCAAAGTGCTTGCCTTGTGCTTGCTTCTGCCGCTCCGTGTTGCTGGATGCATCGCGCCGCTTGTGGCGTTGACTCGTTGTGGCACCGACGTGCTGAAGGAGGCGGCCGCGAGGATGCTGGGGAGCCTCGCTGGGGAGCCTCGCAACAAGGTGGCAATCGCAAAGGCGGGCGGCATTGCGCCGCTGGTGGCGCTGGCTCGCGACGGCACGGACGAGCAGAAGGAGGAGACCGCATGGGCGCTCAATAACCTCGCTGCCAACGCCGACAACCAGGTGGCGAACGCGAAGGCGGGCGGCATCGCGCCGCTGGTGGCGCTGGCTAGCGGCGACACGGACGGGCAGAAGGAGGAGGCCGCGGCGGGGCTGAGGAACCTCGCTTGCAACGCCGACAACAGGGTGGCGATCGCGAAGGCGGGGGCGGCATCGCGCGGCTGGTGGCGCTGGCTTGCGGCGGCACGGAGAAGCAGAAGGAGAACGCCGCGGTGGCGCTGGCGTGGCTCGCTCACAACGTCGATAGCAAGGTGGCGATCGCGGAGGCGGGCGGCATCGCGCCGCTGGTGGCGCTGGTTCGCGGCGGCACGGAGGCGCAGGCCCCGTTTCGCCGCGGTGGCGCTGCAGAACCTCGCTCGCAACAACGCCGACAACCAGGTGGCAGTTGCGAGGGAGGGCGGCATCGCGCCGCTGGTGGCGCTGGCTCGTGGCGGCACGGAGGGGCAGAAGAAGTTTGCCGCGTTGGCGCTGGCGCAGATCGCTCACAACGACGACAACAAGGTGGCGATCGCGAAGGCGGGTTTCCAACCTTAGTGACTAGTATGGCCCACCTAGACCCTCAACACCCACCCACCTCTCCTGGGGGCAAGGCCCCAGCCCCACCCGTAACGGCGGGTCACCGCGCAGTGTCAGGGGGTGCGCGCCCCATTTTCATGCGTGTTGCCTTTCTTTTCGTTACATCGTGAAGACTAAATCTACAGAGCCAGAGGTCCCGGGCCAGACCCGACAAACAGACGACCGAACACCAAACCCGGCGAGAGGTGGAACGAGCTTGTGCGAGTGGCCGACTTGCTGAGGAAAGGGTTCGACGTTCGCCTTGGCTGTGTCTGCCGTCCGAGCCGATGCCACGCGGAATCCATCATACGGGAGGCAGGTGATGACACTGGCACAGAAACGGAGTGAGGAGGCGACGAGCGGAGCGGGGCCGTCCTCGGAAGGCGCGAGCGCAGAGGGGGGGCGTGACGAAGCGGCGACGCGAGGCGCGATCGACAACCCGCCCAACGAGCAGCTGGAGGGCAACGCGGACGACAGCGAAGCCTGTGAATGCGAGGGGGAAGACGACGCCTTCCAAGACACAGTCGGCGACGAGACAGAGGCTAGCGGAGACCCGACAAAAGACGAGGGAGACCCAAAGCCGTGCCACGATTCCCCTCCTCCGACACCCGCCCCACCCCACCCACCCCACCCAGGAGGCCCCTAGCGCAGTGTGGCGCCCGCCCGCCCTACAGTTGTTTGTACTTCTTCCCCTCCCCAGAGGCAGCGAGTAGGCAGCGAGAGGAGGTCTCGAGCGCCTATATGTCAGTGTGCGAAGGGCGGTGGCCAATGCGCGGGCGAGGGGAGGGGGCGGGGCGGGGCGGGGCGGCTCGGAAGGCGGCTGTCTGGCGAACGCCTGATGCTTTGCGCTGGTCTATGAGTGAGAGGTTGAGGTGCGAGCCCTGGAGGCCCTGGGGGTGGGGGGGAGACTACCCGCGGGCCTAGAAGGCCCGCGCGCATTTTTCACAGCCTTTGTTATTGAGAAGAATACATACGTCCTGGTAGGTAGGTAGGTAGAAAGGTGAAGAACAGCCAGGCTCGGACTGGACACCAACGCGGTATGGGTGGACGCTAGACAGATGATGACGACACGCACGAGCGACACACAGACACAAACAACAGGGAGCGGCGCTTACTGTGCCTCGGTAGCAAGGCCGCCGGCAGCGCTGGCCACCAGCAGCGCTGGCTTCACCCGAGCACCTGCCTGCTGTGGCCAGAGAGATGTCGGAGCCGGCTGACGCACCGTTCGATGACGCTCCGATCGACGACGAGCCTCCCCAAGAACGTCCGGCCGGCGAGAGCTTCCAGTGTGCGGTGTGCTGGGATGACACCTCGGCCGCCGGCGAGGCACGGCTGCCGTGCTGCGTTATCCCGGCAGCCTCTTCGACCCGTTACTGCCACTCATGCATCGCTGTGATCTGCGCGTCCGCACCCGGCAACGTCGGCCGCTGCCCGAACTGCCGGTCCTACCTGAGAATCGGCGCCGGGTGACGGAGGCGGCCGTGAGGCGTCGCGCGACGCCGACGCATCATCGTTGGCTGTTGTAGGCGCGGGCGGCGCCATCGAGGAGGCTGACGCGGTGGACACGTGCACGCTGTGCCAGCAGGTGCGCGTCATCGTCGAGACGCGGGGCAGAGGCCTCTAGAAGCGGAATGCGTGTTCATGTATCCCAACCAGCACTCGAGAGGACACGTATTCAGCCGTATTCGACCGTACTCCGCTGTGTTCACTGTATTCTTCTCCGTTGTCTTCACGCGGTGCTCTGAAGACGCTGCACAGTACCGCCTTCCCGCCCTCATGTTGGCGTATTCAACACGTAGGCGGAGGCCGGCTCAAGCTCTGTGGGGCTTGCTCGATGGGCCAGCGCCACACCCTGCGGTATGAGTGCGAGCAGTGCCGCCGCTTCCAGCGCATCCCCCACCCAATGTACCGCTACCAGCCGACGCCGCAGCAGTTCGGCGACGTGTCGTGGGCGTGCCACCAGCGCTGCCGTGCCCAGACGCACTGGCGCGTCCACCCCGAGGACGTCCTCCACCTGTGAACAGCGTTTCTTCACACCTACTGCTGTGAACAGGCGCGTCCACCCCGAGGACGTCCTTGCGGTCCCCGCTGACGATGCGCCCGAGGGCTGGGGAATGCGCGAGGCGTGGTTCGACGCCGTGCGCGAGCAGCGGCGGCGAGAGGGGCGGGTGAGGCCGCGCACTGCAAACCTAGTGTGAGGAGTGGGGGAGCTGGGACAAGGCATGTAAAGTACGCCTCTGATCTGTCATGGTCTAGTGGCCGAGAGGATCCTCCCTTAGGCAACGATGGCGGGTCGGGAGAGGCCCGAATTCTCAGCCCGCCACGTACTGTCAGCCTCTCTGACTGCCCAGGCGGCCCGGCCGAGGCTGGACGCGCAGCACCAGCCGATCGAGGCCGGCCGCGAGCTGCGTCTCCCCATATCTCCCCATGTCTCCCCATATCTCCCCATATCTCCCCATAGGCCGGCCGCGAGCTGCGGCTCCTTCTCATCGCCGCCGCCTTCCTGGCGGCCGCGGCCTTCGACCTGTCTACGCTGCCCCCGTGGGCGCGGTGGGCGGGCCTCGCCGTCGCGGGCGTGTACAGCTGGCGGCGCGTCTATGTCGCGAACGGGCGCGTTCTCAACCCGCCGGCTTAGGGCCGTAGCATGAGGGCCGCAGCCTGCGTGTGGGAGTGCGAGAGTGCTACACAATCTTACACACGTAGTGGTGCTTCATGTAGCGCCGGCTTCGGTTTGCATGGATGCCCGCCTCTTGATCGTTGACGTCGTGCTCTCGTGCGAGAATCGGGCATGCTTTTGTGTGAACAGCGCCGACTGTCTGTGCTTTTGTGTGTCTTGGGTCCGCGGGGTTGTGTTTTTTTGTGTGTGAAAGGACGTCTTTTTCTATTTTCTTCTCATAACAAGGTCTGAGAACTGTGAACAGCGCCTGTCTCTGTGCGATGTCGGGCCCGGGGCTAGCGTTTATGATTATGTGAACAGCGCCTCGCGTACACGTACGGGGTCGACACCGCCGGGCCCCACACCGCACACGGCCACAGCGAGTCAGCGACACGGCGAGCGCGATCTCCTCCACACCCCGGTCCCCACACCCCCCTACATCTCCCCAGGGCTAGGAGAGGGGGTAAGACATAAGTGAGTGTCTGTGGAGGGCGGGCAGTCCCAGTGACGGTGCGGTCGAGCCTTTAGCGCTTAGGGCTCGACGCCGCCCTTCCTAGAGATGTGGGAGAGAGTGTCTACTACTGGGGTTTCTCAGCTCCGCCTGCTCATCGAACTCCTGGATAACGGCCGGCATGGCCGCCTTGGCATCCGGAAAGGACAAGGCTACGTCCGCGAGGTACCAACCAAACTCAGTCAGGTCAACCGTGCTGTCTGCTTTGCCATGCGTGTCGTACCACTCAAAGAACTGCTCGACGTCAAACGCTTCGCCGCTGTACATCTCGACCACCTCCTTGAGCTCCGACTTGTCCAGCGATCCACTGCCATCTTTGTCCAGCTTCATAAAGACGGCCTTAATCGTCCTCAAGGCCTCTCTTCTTTCTTGCCTTGGGTGATTGCGCCGTAACGTGCCGGGTCATCCATTTCCTCCGGATCAGCGTTCACGGTGAATGTGAGGAGGACGCCTTGTCCGGCCCAAGTCAAGAATTGGCTTTCTTTTGGTGGGCAAAGTATATCCAAGCAAACTCCCTATCCGGCAAGGGGTCCGAACCCAGCCGTGTATCGCGCGCCTTGCGGGGGGGGGCGCGGAAAAGAGGAACCTCTTAGCGCCCTCGCCATGGTGCTGCAAGCAGCGCCGGGCGACGACGACTTACCGCCTCCCGGTCCCCCTCGGCACACCTCCGCTGCTCAATGTTTGACGACTCGAACCCGTGAAGCTTCCCCGCGCGCGGGTTACCCCGCACACGGGTCAGCCTGCCAGCCACAAATCCACGCAAGCGTGGTCCGCGCGCATGGCATACAGGCGTCCGCCAGACAGCGCAGAGGCTAGGCGACCGGGGAAGGACTAGCTCAAGGGCAACACAGCGTCACCAGCCGTTGGCGCGCAGAACGAGTCAGCGGCCCCCGGTTGGGACGAGTGCGCGACGCGGACGAACCGCTCAATGTGGCCGGCAGCTCGCGCTGCCGGCGGGGTTGGTTGGGGAGAACCGGCACGGGGAAGGCCGGCCTCCCCGGAGGGGTCGCCCCCTGGAGGGGCCCCAAAGGGCCCCCCGGGGGGGCGGGGGCCCCCGCCCCGAGGGGCGGGGGCGGGTCCTTACGTGTGTGTCTCGCGCCTTGTCAGCCCTCTACCATTATGGGTGGCCACGGCGGCGGTCGCATGCGCATCGGCTGGGTCGGTGTCGGCGTGATGGGCCGACACATGGCTGGCCACCTCATGGCGGCGGGCCATGAGCTCTCGGTATTCAGCCGCACCGCCTCCAAGTGCGCGCCGCTGGTAGAGGCTGGAGCTCGGCTGGCGTCGTCGCCTATGGATGCCGCCTATGGAGCCGACGCAGTGTTCACGATGGTTGGAGCGCCCTCAGATGTCGAGCAGGTCACACTTGGCGGCGGCGGCGTGCTGGAGGCGCTGGAGCCAGGATCGCTGCTGATTGACTGCACCACGAGCACACCCAGCTTGGCGCAGAGAGTCGCCGCGGCCGCAGCGGGCAAGGGTGTGCTGGCGCTGGACGCGCCCGTGAGCGGAGGCGACGTCGGTGCCGAGGCGGCGTCACTCTCCATCATGTGTGGCGGGAGCGACGAGGCGATGGGCGGCAGCGGTTACCTGCTCGACCTGCTGGGCAGTCGCGTGCTGCACATGGGGCCTGCCGGAGCGGGGTGAGAGCTGTCTGCTATAGCCGCAGCCACTCCCAGCAGCTGCTCGGTGTGAACAGAGTTCGTACACCGAGCAGCAGGGAGCTCCGCAACTCGAGATCCCTCGAGAGTTCACGGAGTCGGCTGGGGCTGTGAGAGCGTTCGCCGCGTTCCCCGTACGGCGCCGTCCCTCGTTTCTGACCCGCCCGCTCGGATTGGTGCCAGGCAGCACACCAAGATGTGCAACCAGATCCTCGCAGCCAACAACATGCTCGGTGGGCGGCTCGGCGCATCTCGGCACATCTCGGCACATCTCGGCTGTACCTCGGCTGTACCTCCGCGACATCTCGGCGACATCTCGGCCGCATCTCCCCTAGGCGTGTGCGAATCGCTTCGCTACGCGTCGGCGGCGGGGCTGGACGCCGACGCGGTCGTCCGCGCAGTCGGCGCCGGCGCGGCGGGCTCGTGGGCGATGAACAACCTCGGGCACAAGGTCGTGGCGAACGACTTTGCGCCCGGCTTCATGATCGAGCACATGGCCAAGGATTTGGGCATCGCCGTGAGCGAGGCGGAGCGGCTGGGCCTGGAGCTGCCCGGACTCGCAAACGCACGGAGGCTGTACGACGCGCTGCTGGCGGCCGGGCACGGGAGGGACGGGACGCAGGCGCTCGTCCTAGCCCTCGACTCCCCAACCAACCCTGCCGTGAGCCCCTGCCGATAGAGAGCCGTTCACGCATGAGACATGGGGACCCGCGGGTAATAGGAGCGTGAGATATCAGCATAATAAGTCAAAAAAAAAGTTCGGGGGTGGATGTGGTCGGCGTAAGTAAGTACACACTACTCTCTGACTACATGCGACATGTGAGATCTGCGGGACTCTTGGACGTATGCACTCTATACGTTGCACATGTACGTGCATATGCACTGGCACGATCGGGAGCGCGACGCTTACGGCCATGCGTGTTTGAGGTGCGTCGGCCAGTCGCGGCGAAGAGAGCCCGAAGAGGCCGAAGCGAACGCGGTGCACCGCAATAAACTACCATCAGAAACGGCCGGCCTCCTTGCCCTCTCGCAAAGCGGCGAGGGCGGCGTCCTTCTCCGCGTAAGCAGCCTCCAGCGTCGCTGCCCACTCCTCCGCCTTGGCATCGAACTCCGCCTGCTTCTCCGGTGGGTAGTTGTTCCGCTCGCGCCCGGCTATTGCGGAGAGTCGTGCCACCTTCTCTTCGCGCACCGCAGTGTTGAGCTGCTTCTGCGCGTCCTTCAGCCGCTTGATCTCGGCAAAGCCAGCAGAGTTGAGGCGCGGATCATCTGCGAGCACCGGAGCAGAGCCGAGCAGCGGTGCGGCGGCCAGCGCGCGAACGGCGGTGCGGCGGTTGAGGACTAGGGTGAGGCCGCTCGCGGGAGAGAGGACGGCGAGGAGAAGGAGCGGCAGGAGACGAGGCGACATCGTGGGAGAGGAGGCCGGTTAAAGAAAAGAATTTTAACGAAAGAATTCCGAGATAGGCTACCAACTGCACTCCAAGTGCTCCAAGTGCTCCAAACCCGTATCACAGCACACAGGTTCGACACAGGGACCAAAAGAGGCACAGCCTGCGACGGACCTTTAGAAGGCGCCGTCGTCCTCATAGAGGTGGGGTGATGGCGAGGCTGTGCACATCTCCAGCCGACACAGCGATGCCGCGCTGGCCAGCAAAGGCCTCGATCTTCTTCGGCAGCAGCTGGGTCTTCTCGTCGCCGTGGCCCAACCGGCCATGCCCTCCCCAGCCCCAGCTCCAGACGCTGCCGTCAGCAGTGATGGCGAGGCTGTGAGCGATCCCAGCCGAGACAGCGACGACGCGTTGGCCAGCCAAGCCCTCGACCTTCTTCGGCAGCAGCTGGTGCTGCGTGTTGCCGTGGCCAGAGTCAGGGCGGCTGCGGCCAAGCGCCTCCGGCTGATGAGGGCTGGAGGCCCGAGCTCGAGCGCGGAAACGAGGCTAGTGAGGCCGACGTGCAAAAGGAGGGCGAAAAAACCATGATCGGCGGCCAGACAACTGCCGGGTCTGCTCCAAGATGTCCTCGGAGGACAGGAGAAATGCCGAATGAGAAACACGGCCGGCACTAATAAAGTAACCGCTGGCGTGCCACTATACTGGCACTCACACACGCAAGGAAAAGCGGGAAGAGCTGCGAAGAGACGCTGTTTGCAGAAGGCTCCCCGCCGACAACGAACGACGCCGAACCTGTTCACAGCAGTAGAAGTGTGGTGAAGAGACGTTCGCCGCAGCCGTTGGCGGCGGCGATATATACAGCGAGTTTGCGTACGCAACAACAAACTAAAAGAAATTCACTCTCGCTGTGAAGGACCTACCTACGGCTCTACTTCTCCGGAGAAGTGGAGGGCGCTCTCCTACTCCTTTGCTCTCGACTCTAGCGAAATGCCTCCGAGCGACAGCACTCGCAATCCTAACGTGCGGGCGCTCCTGTAGCACTGAACACCTCCCCCGACTAGCCGCGTCCCCTTAACGATCGTTTGGAGAAGCTCAAGGTACAAGGAGCTCGTGAGCCAGGATTTGACTTCCCCCATCACTTGACCGATGTCGCCCATGATCCTGACAATTTCCGCGGATAAATCGCCTGCTGGCCTGCATCTTTGCTACCGTAGAGCTCGGAAGCGGGGGGTGTTTGGCATGAGCCGCAAGCCGCGCTCGCGCGGACGAAAAGCGGTGGAGGGGGGCCGGGCGCGGATGAGCGTTCCTTGCTTGTACGGCTTTATCCGTCCACGGTTCCAGCCGCCCGCCTCGTCGGATCTGGCTCGGGAACCGATGGAGAGCTGGACCGAGGTCTCATGACGCCGAGCCCGTCCAGCCACTGGGCGTAGTCGGCGTGTTGTGAGAGAGCGCGAGTGCACTCACATTCACGGTCAAAGGCGGCGACCTGCCTCTTGTGCTCTTGACGACGGCCGAGTTCCAAAATCGAAAATGACTTGTTGATCGTCCTGGCCGTCGTGGCGCCACGACTGACGTCTTCCGCCCTGGCGTCGGACATAGGGACAAAAAGAATTTTAGCGCGCAAAAGAATTCGAACGCTCCTTTTCTAGACGTGTTTGTTCCTAACTGTTTTGAGCCATCCCGTTCCTCCCTCGGGCGGCTGGGTACCGACATGCAGGACGTACCCTTCTCCTCACCCACACTCGCCGCGGGTGCAGCGCGATGCTATCGCAGCCGACTAATATCGAGTCTAATCGAGTCTAGGCTCCTTCGCAAGGTGCGCCGCTCGTCGATGCCCCGCTCCGCCATCTGCGTCCATTGCGACGCGAGCCGGCGCCTCGGCCGATCACGGATGCATCTCTCGGCCACCCACGCCCACACCACCACCAGCGCCGCCCCAATCATCGAGACCTTCATGGAGTAGGCGGCGGCACCCAGCAGAACGCCAGTGGCTTCAAGTGCGCCTGGCGGAGGGGGCGGCGGCGCCGGCGGCGGTGTAGACGGAGGTGGCGGGGACGGAGGTGGCGGGGACGGAGGTGGCGGGGACGGAGGTGGCGGGGACGGAGATGGCGATGGTGGTGGCGGTGGCAACGGCGGTGGCGGTGGCGGCGGAGGCGACGGCGGGGGTCGCGGCGGGAAGGGCGGCGGCGGCAGTGGTGGCGAGGGAGGCGGCGGTGGCGGGGACTGCGGTGGCGACGGCGGGGGTCGCGGCGGGAAGGGCGGCGGCGGCAGTGGTGGCGAGGGAGGCGGCGGTGATGGCGGTGGCGGGGACTGCGGTGGCGGGCTGTCCGGCGGCAGTGGTGGCGAGAGAGGCGGCGGTGGTGGCGGTGGCGGGGACTGCGGTGGCGGGCTGTCCGGTGGCGGTGGAGTTGGCGGTGGTGGCGGCGACAGCGGTGGTGGCGGCGATGGTGGCGAGGGAGGCAGCGGCGGCGGCAGTGGCGGTGGTGGCGGCGACGGCGGTGATGGCGGCGGCGATGGCGGCGACGGTGGCGACGGTGGCGACGGAGGCGGCCGAGGGAGGGGAGGCGCCGGCAGGTGAGTCACCTCCCCGTTGAAGGCTAATGTCTCTCCGCGAAAGCCGCTCTGCCCCGGGGCGGGCTTGATGCGGCACGCGTGCTCGCCCATCGGGAGGACGTGCAGCACCGGCTTCTTGTGGAGATCGCAGCTGTTTTCGGGCCCGCCAGTGAAGTGGTAGTCGGTTGCGAGGCAATCTCGACGATCGCGGCACAGGGCCTGGCACTCGGCCTCGCTCACGCCCAAAATTGTGTCAACCGAACCATACGCGCCGTGCTCCACCCGGCAACCGCCGCGTTGTCCGCCGGCGAGCGGCCAGAGATCTCCCGCCGACCAACCGCCGACCGCCGGGACCATTTGGTTGGAGGGGCTCGCGGAAGGCTTCGGCGCCGACTGCGAAAGCGGCAACCACCACGGTGGCGGGCGGGGCGGAGGTGGAGGTGCTCGGGGAAACCAGAACGGTAGGCGTGAGCCAAAAGGCGGGAGTGGTGAAGCTTGGCTTACGCCGCTCGAGGGCATGAACGCGTCTCTGAACGAGGGGGTACAGTGTGGGCTGAGGGCCAAAAGTAAAACGCTCGACGCCGCTCCCGGCTCTCAGAGAGGCGTTATATCTCAGTAACCCCGCTCGCAGGTACTAGAGCAGCGTTCGTCAAGCTCAAACCCCACTCTACACAACACAGAGCAGCGTTTGCCTAACAAGACTCCGCTCTGCAACCTTTAGAGCGGACTCTTGCTCAGAAAAACACCGACCGAGCACGTTCGAGCGGAGTCAAGTCAGTGCAACACCGCTCAACATAGCGGGAGCGGTCAATTTCCGCGGAGAGGCTGCTTTCGCCTCCCTCAGTCGCGCTCTCCTCCGCCCCTCCTCTTCAGAGCGGGACTTTGCTGAGTGAACACCGCTCTAGCTGGTCATAGCAGCGATTGCTTTAAGCTGACACATCATGATGCGTTAGAGAATCTTACAACAAAACTCCCTCGCACAACACTGGTTAGAGAAGCACGGGTGTGTGTGTGTGTGTGTGTGTGTGTGTGTGTGGTGACACTCACGCACGGGGGGGGGGAGGGAGCCGGTATCGACGAAAGGGACCGCTAGCAGGAGACGGTGCCCAGCCCTACAGGTAGTGAACGACTGCCTACACACATCAACTGCACATGCGTGCACCAGTAACGGCGCACACGAAGCCGAGTACCCAGTCGGCACTTACAGCTCTATCTTACCAACAATTTAATACTCATATTAAACACGGCCATGCTCATACACCATTTTGGACAGAACTTATGTGGCGAGCACAAGCGTCACGCTCTAAGGTAGCAAGGATCTAGGATGGCTGAACTCCTCGCCGGGCGGCTCGAAGGGCATCTTCGTGTGCAGCACACGCGCCCGAGCCTGCCTCCGTGGTATGTGTGGAGCGGGGGGGTCGGCTCTCGGCGGTGACGGCGCAGGGTGGCATTGTGCTGCAGGCTGAGCTGCCACCGCAATTGCGAAGTATTCAGCGTTGTCACGCACGATTGCGACGGCGGCCCAAGCGGGAGGGAGCGGAGACAGTGGGCAGCGAGCGAAGTGGGTGAGACTGATGAATCTCCTTCGACTCGGGGACAGCTGTGGAGAGCGCGTCTCTCGGTAACGCTTCAAGAAGGCTTGGCCTGTTCCCCCCCTGGATTCCCCCTTTGACGACGCGAGGATTCGGCTTCTCCTTGGGGTCCTCCGCCCGGGGGCCTGGAGCTGATCTCTGCCACTGTGGTCGGCCTGCATCGAGTGCGTACTGAGAAAAACACACACAGGCACAGATCACAGGCTTCACAGGCACAGACCTCACACGCAGAGCAACCGGCACGCCTGGGCAAAAAGCGCCGCGTCGCCTCCGCTTGCGAGCCCGTCGAGCACATCGAAGTGCGACGCCCCCGCCACCTCGACGTGCGTGACCGCGTGGCCCTGTGCGGTGCACGCGGCGTGGAAGTCGCGCGTCTGGTGGCGCAGCTCGGGCAATTCGTCGCCCCCAACGGCGGCGACGATCGGCGGCAGCGCCACCCCTGCCTCTGCGGGCGGGATCAGGGCGAGGGGCGACCACGCGAGGACGTCGTCGGGCGCGATGAGCCGTCGTCTGGCGGCGGGCAAGCTCAGGTTGAAGTACGAGTGCAGGCGCAGCGGCTCGAGGTCAGCGATCATCGAAATGCAGAGGGCGCCGGCGAGCTTGGCGCGCGTGCGCGGGTGCAGCGCGCACACGCCCGCGAGCTGCCCACCCGCGGAGTGGCCGGCGACGACGAGCTTCGCCGGGTCGCCCGGCAGCCGTCCAGCAGCCAGGGCCGCCGCTAGGAACTCGACGGCCGTCAGCACCTGCAAGCACTGCTCGCAGACGGGCTGCGGCTCCGGAGCGGGGAGCCCGCCGTACTCGAGGATCGCCACGTTGGCGCCGCGGCGCCGAAGCGCCGACGCGATGAAGCAGTTGTTCTCCTTGGGGCTGTTCATGTGCCAATATCCGCCATGGATGTACAGCAACGTCGGCGCGTCCGCGTTCGACGCCGCCGCCGCGCCCCCCGCCGGCGTGCTCGCGGGCAGAAAGTCGAAGCGCTCGTGCGTGCCAGCGCCGTACTGGAGGTCGAGGAGCTCGGGTGGGGCGGCAGCGCGCTCCGCGTGGGAGAGCGGCAAGTTGCGCGCCACCCACGCGCCGAGCATCGGTCGGCACGCGGCGCCGTTGTCGTAAGCGGCGTCGAGAGCTCTCGGCGCCATCGATCCGTACTCGGCCACGGCGGACGCACGGCCGGCCTCGAGCATTTTGGCGGGCGAGGACGGCGGCGGCGGCGGCGGCGGCACACACACACGGGGCAGAGCGACGCCGACGAGACAGTCGCGCGTGGCGAGCCTTCGGAGCGCCGCCTCATCCCAGCCGGCAGTTCCAGCGGGGCGCTGCGGCAGCACGAGGAAGCGAGTGTCGGCGGTCGAGTCGTGCACTCGCACGGTGGTGTTGGTGGGTGGGAGTGCGCAGCCAAACTCTGCGAGGACGGCGCGCGGCTCGCTCACGCCGCGGCTGCGGTAGGCGCGCGACGTGTAGTAGCGCGGCGGCAGGCCGAGCAGCGCGCGCGGGTAGCACGAGCAGAGCGTGCACACGACGAGGTTGTGCACCTATTCACAGCTCCTATTCACACCTCCTGTTCACACCTCGAGCAGGTGCGAGTCGACGAGGCTGTGCACCGTCGGCGTGTTCTCCACCACGACGAGTGTCGTGTCTCCTATCGGCGCCACGGCCTGCGCCGGCGCGCCGCGCAGGCGGGTGCCCATGTATTCGAGGTCGCCCGTGCCCGCGCGCGTCGAGCCGATGCCGCCGCGCGCGTCGACGACGCCCTGCAGCCCGGCCTGCACGAGCGCCTGGTGTTGAAGGCCGACGACTGCGCAGCCGTCGCTACTGTGAAGGTCTTCCGTGACCTCTCACACCTGGGCTGGGTCGGCCAGCAGGAGCTCCTTGAAGGCTGGGTCGAGCCACGCCTTGCCGACGAGTGGCCCCCTCGGATTAGGGTTAGGGTTAGGGTCAGGGTTAGGGTTAGGGTTAGGGTTGGGGTTAGGGTTAGGGTCAGGGTTAGCCACGCCTTGGCGACGAGTGTGGCCCCCTCGGATTAGGGTTAGGGCTAGGGTCAGGGTTAGGGTTATGGTTATGGTTATGGTTAGCCAGCCACGCCTTGGCGACGAGTGTGGCCCCCTCCATCGTCTGCCCGTACGCCATCGCGTCGAGCGCCTCGACCTGCAGTCGCAGCTCGTCGCGAGAGAGCACCCCCTTGCGCACGAGCAGCTCGACCGTCGCGCCGTGCAGCGCGGCGAACGCGCCGTCCTTGTCCGCCGCCGCCGCGTGCGCCGCCTCCCGATCGACGGCAAGCTGCTCTGTGTCGCTGCGCGGCTCGTGCGTGTGTGCACCGCCGTGAGCGGTGTGTACCGCGGGCACGGGTACGAGCAGCGAGCCGCGGCCGATCCAGCCGCCGCCACCGCAGCCATCGTCGCCGCCCGCGACACCACCCGCCTCTTCGAGCCAACCCTCGTACACGTCAACGTCGATCGAGTCGTCCGCGCCTCCCGCGTAGTGTTTCCACAGCGCCCGCTGGGAGAAGCGCACGGTGTACAGGTAGGCGTCGGTCCTCTTCGGCCCTTGCGAGAAGAACGCGAGCTCCTCCGGGTTGGCAAAGGGGCCCTGGACGCGGACCACGATGCCCTCGGAGCCGTGGATGTAGCCCGGAGTGCGCAGGTGTGGCCGCCTCCAGCGCACGCGGGCCTTCTCCGAACGGACCCGCACTGCCTCGCCGCCGCAGAAGCGCGGCGCGTTGGGTCGCTCGTCGTCGGTCGCGCCACCGAGCACCTCATCGAGCTCAGCCTGCGTGAAGATCTTGGAGGCCAGCGCAAGCTGAGCGCTGCCGCACGCCCACTTGGCCCAGTAGGAGAGCGCGCCATACCGCTCCGGCGGCAGCAGTTCCAAGGTCCGGCGTGACTCGTCCACCACACGAAAGCCCTTCTTCGACATGAGGACCGCCAGAGAGCACACCTCAATCTCCCACTGGGCGAAGGCATCCATGGAGCGCTCGAGCGCACCTGCGAGGCTGTCGCGTGCGCCAAAATCGAGCGAGCCACCCGCATCGTGCACGCCGAGACACCCAGCGTCCGCGTTCATGAGCTCTGCGCGTCCGCCATGAGGCAGTAGGCGAAGTGGATGTCCTGACTCGATCGTGGCGGCGCCAAAACCGTATCATGCAGAGCTTGGCAACCTTAGTGGCCGCAGGCCACACGCCCGTAGGGCGTGAACTCGTCGCGCGCGTAAGCGCGCGAAGAAAATTTTCAGAGATAAGTACGTACTTACCCTGGGGAAGGCCTTGTTTTCACGTCCTTAGCGAGTGATGCAATCACGTTCTTGTTTTGCCCAAAACAAGACCGTACTCGCACGTTCTTATTGGCTGTGGCAAAGACACGCTCCGCCTCCTTCGCCGTCGCCAGCGGCGCTGCACCATGCAGGCGTACTTTCCGCCCGCCGATGCAGCGGCGCCCGCGGCCGCCGGCGCGGGCGAGGCGGCAGACGGCTCTGACCAGCGGACAGCGGCACTACCCGCGGGCGCGCCGGCGCCGCCGCAGGCGGCTGCGTCCGGCCCCGAGGTGGCAATGCCGTCGTACCAGCCGTGGAAGCAGTCCCGGCCGGAGTGGAAAGGCTGCACTGCAGAGCAGTGGGCCGCCTCCCGCTGCAAGACCGACGACTACATCGCACCCACGATGCCCAAGGGTTCTGCGCCCGGCAAGATGTGGTCCTTTGGCGTCTGCCAAAAGGGGGCGGCTGTTGGTACGAAGCAGTGGTCGGCGTGGGAGGGTGGGGTGGGTGCGCCGTGGGTGCGCTGTTTGTGTACATCTTAACAAGTGCTCCGAGCGCTTAACTATAATTCTTTTTTGCACGAGGGAGCTTCTTTTTCTCAAGACCGTAAAATCACGACCGTACAATCATTTGCCGCGTGTCTTCGAGCGACAGTTTGGCCCAACCATGTCTGGCCCTCGAAGGTCTGCTTGGTTCTTGCGGCATCAGGCGGCCATGATCGAGGACCGCCAGTCGAAGACGCTGCTGACTGACGAGACCGTGCAGCGGCTGCGGGCGCAGCGGCAGCGGCAGTGGCAGAAGGTGGCGGCAGACTTCAACAAGCGCCTGGATGAAGCGAATGAGCGCGCGGACGCATCAATCGCAGCGTGGCTCGCGGCTCACAAGGAGCGCGTCGCGCTCGGCATGACGACCGACGGTGGGACCACGACCGACCACTGCGACACCGAAGGTATGACCGAGGAGGTCGCGGCCGAGAACGCGCCGCTGGTGAACGGCCAGGGATACGTTTGGGCCGAGGGCTACGGCGGCCGCCCCGGCTGGGTTCTCTGCGTAGATTAGGGCCAGGATAGGGCCAGGAGCCGCCGACGTCCGGCGCGAGGACCGGCTATTGCGCACAGAAGCGAGCGGAGCGAGCCGAAGAGAAAATTTGAGGGCTAAGGTCGTACTTGCATGTATGTACGTCCCTGTTTTGACAGTACGTACGTAGTGTCTGAAGTACGTCCGTGATTGAGCTGAGGCGCACGTACGCGAGGGGCGCTGGCGTGTCGTCAGCAAGGTCGTGTGGGCTGGGGGCATTTCCGCCCACGTTCTTGCAATACGTACTTGATTTCACGGTCGTGAAAGCAAGGTTGCCAAGCTCTGGTATCATGCCGCCGTTACAACACAGCTGTGAATAAATTAGTATCTCGCAATAAGAAACCAAGCGCCCTCTCCCCGTCTAATCACTCCTCGTCGTCCGAGTGGCTGAGCTCGAGACCGAGACGCTCAGGATTGGGTCGGAACACGAGCTTGTCCATGTCCACGCTCTGGTCGTCGTCGTCCATACGATTAATTAGCTTCGCCGGCGACACACTGTTTGTGTACCCGTTGACGAGCCGCTTGAGCGCGGCCAGAGCTTGTACAAAGCGACGGCAAGCAGGACCAGGCCTGCGACTGCGTAGATGCTCCACATAGATGTGTGGGGTCGGGCTTGCTTGCTCGGGCCTCGGCGAAGAAGTCAAACAAAACTCCTTGGCGCTTGGCTGCGTAACTAGTTTTTATAGTGAAAACCGGCGATTTCGAGGCGCCCGTGGCGGTTCGCGAGAAGGAGGGAGAGCACTTGGAGAGAGAGAGAGAGAGAGAGAGAGAGAGAGTCCTGAAAAACCGCCAATGGCCGTTATCCGTTAGTGCGGACGTCGCCGCGGCTCGCCTCTGCCGCGGTGGCTGCTGCGCGCACGCGGCGGCGCGGCTCTCTCGCGAGACGGCTGGCGACGCGGCTCGCCGCCGACATGCGCTGCGCTCGTCCGACAGTCCGCAGCGTGGCGTGCGCGGCGCTGCGCGCGGCTCTGCGGGCGCTTCTGCGCCTGCACTGCCTCTCCCTGTTGCTGCTGGTGGTGGTGATGATGCTGCTGCTGCGCATATGCTGCTGCTGGCGCGGCGAGGCTCTGAGACTGGGCTCGACGCGCGCGTCGCAAGCATCTGACGGGGCGGGCGGCGTCGGGCAGGTGCGCTTCTCTCTTTGGTGGTGGTGGTGGTGCTGCTGCTGCTGCTGGTGGTGCAGATGCTGCTGCTGGTGCGGTGCGGCTCTCCGACTCGACTCGGTGCGCGCGTTGCGGCGATCTGACGCGGCGGGCGGCGTCGCGGGCGGCAGCGGTGGCGGCTCGCGGGTGGAGGTGGAGGCTGGTGGCTGTGGTGGACTTTGAGTTTATTTCATGGTGGAGTACGGGGACCGGGGGGTCAACCGGGAGGCAGGGGGTTCGACCTGGCGACGGAGGACCGTGGGCCATCGCGGGGACGGGTGCGTCCGGAGGACGAGCTCGGTAGATCCGGATGGTCTCACCCGGTGGGAGGCACCGAGGCGTCTGGGACGCTCAGCTCTACCTTAAGCTCCTGAGGGGCGCGTGGTTCTAACCACGTAGTACGACTACAGCCCACCACAGACACACTCCCTCTCCACACGTGTGCACACACCCTCACCCTCTCCTCTCTCCTCTCTCTCTCTCTCTCCTCTCTCATCCTTGTCTGTGCTGTCTGCCTGACTCAGGCACTCAATCTGCCGATGCGTGATTGTGTGTGGGCTGCTCCGAGGGGGCCCTGTGCGATCCGATGGGTAGGGAGTCTGTGCCCGGGCGGTGTCCGGTGCGGAGTCTCTCTCTGATCCCACCTGTGGTGTTGGGTGTGAGGTCGTGGAAGCTTCGATCCCAAGGGGGGGAGCTGATCCCACTCATAACCAACTCTCAGGGGCAGTAGGTGGGCGAGCCTCGAGCGCGCTCATCTCGATCGTGAAGGCGTCGCTACGCGCGGTCTTCCGCGGGGGGAGCTTCGTCGACGGGTGCGGGAGCGCGGCGCAGCCAGTGCCGTGACGATGCCTCCGGCTGTTTGCGGCGGGCGGCTTGCTGCTCGCTGCATGGCGAAAAACTCGTCTCGCCACACGCCAAGGGCTTATGCTCTGGCGAGACGTGAGGCACATGCGCCCAGGAGGGGAGGGAGCATGTGTAACGACACTGCTAGAGATGCCTTTCGGGGCCCAGAGATAAAACTTCTGTGATGCCATGCGTGACCTAGTAGTGTCCCCAGCTATGGGCGTGTCCACGTTGGAGCCAGGTGTGGTGTGGGCGCGAGAATAGCTCCGCCGTTCATGGAGGCAACCGATGCGAGTCGACAGGTGTGTGTCGTCGTGGTTTCGTATCAAGAATTCTCTCTCAGCACTTGGAGCACTTGGAGTGCAGTCATTAGGGAGAAAGAGCGTTCTCTCTCTAGCGTTTGAGGGGTCTCACGGCAAGGACACCGACCGAGGGGGGGGTCGGTCGTCACACCTCCCGCCGCCGAGAGAGCGACCGACCGGAGGGGGGGTCCGGTCCACCTCGGGGGCAGACCACCGACCGGCGGGGGGGTCCCCACGAACTAGGGGGGGTTGGTACAAAGTGACGCTCGTATTGGTGGTTGGTGGAGGCGGCCCGCGTGCACGCCCGCCGCGGGGCGCCCGTGTGGTACGGTGTGCGTGCGTCTGCATGACTGCATGTCGCGGGACGGGCCAGTAGAACAAAGGAGGCGCAGAGAGAGAGAGCCAGGGCGCGCGCGCTCGAGAGTGCGTCGGTGGGAGGGCCGACCAAACGCCCAGAAGGTACTGTTGAGGGCGCCAAGAAGAGTAGGAAAAGTCAAGAAGGGATGCGCACGTGGACTCCCGAGCCACCTATCGCACTGGTCTGGAGTTAATGACGTCGATATGAGGTCGGAAAACGAGGCGAGCCACGACACGCCGTCTCCAAAGAAGGCACGCCGGCCGAACGCAGCAGTCGGCGGCGTTGCGGCGCTCATGGAAGATGCTCTTGCACCTGACCAGCCCGGCAGCGGCGGCGGCGGCGGCTCGCGGACGGGCGCGTCGCACACACACGCCAGCACCCACCCCGCCGCTTGGGGCTGGACGGATCGGCAAGCAGCTTCGCCACCGCCGCATCCCTCGACGGCGACGCCTCCTCTCGAGGGCAAGAAGTCGGAGAGCGGCGGCGGCTCAGCGCCGAGCCCCGCTAGCCCGAAGCCGACGCCTCGTTCGCGCGAGCCGCCTGTGACCCCCCCCGGCCCTCGCGGCAATCCTCCTGCGACTACGGGAGGAGGAGGCGGGGCCGGCGTGGTGCTGGACGCACGACGCGAGGGGCAAGCCCCCTTTTCCGAGCCTGACCCCGCTGCACTTTTGGTCGGGGCGTCCGACCCGTACCCCGATCCCGAGGTGTCGCTCTCGCTCGACATGCCGGACGACTCGTCCGTCGAGTCTGCGTTTCGTGCCCTCGGAGTCGGCACTTGGAGCAACTTTCATGACATGCTCCGCTAAGGCGTGGCACGTTCCTGGCCCGCCTAGCCGCCGCCGCCCCCTTCCGCCCGGGCTGCGACTGCGGCGCCCGCATCCACACAGACATGGACCCATCCCCCGCGGCCCATGGCCGTAGCGGTCGCCGCCGCTCCATGCTCTATCCCGCGCGGACCTGTAGCATGATGATGTCTGCATCACGCTCCGCACGATCTTCCCCCCGGATGCGGGATGGTCCCTCTTGCAGCCTGTACTGCCGCGAGAGCCCCAGCCCCCACGAGAG